TGGCTGACATGGCCCACATCAGCGGGCTGGTGGCCGCTGGCGTGGTGCCCTCCCCCTTCGACCACTGCGACGTCGTCTCCACCACCACCCACAAGACCTTGCGGGGCTGCAGGGCCGGCATGATCTTCTACCGCAAAGGTGCCTGACTTGGCCAGGGAGCCGGGAGAAACGCTCCCCCCAGGCCCGGGGCGCTGCAAGTTAAAGCTCCTTCCTGCTCTAGCTGGGAAGGAGGGAGGGAAGGAAGGTCTGGGTCCTCCTGGGAGCACCTGGGGAGCTTACCAGGGCCAACCGTGGCCCAAATTTGAAGAGGAACAACCACCATCCCTGCTCCGAGTGGCCAGGGGGTGAAAACAGCTTGTGGGAGAAGGGTGGCCGTGCTGCCTCATGAGCGACCCTGCCCTCCCCTCCCGCAGGCACCCGCAGTGTGGACCCCAAGACGGGCAAGGAAACACTCTACAACCTGGAGAGCCTCATCAACCAGGCGGTCTTCCCCGGGCTGCAGGGAGGCCCGCACAACCACGCCATTGCAGGTACGCATCCAGGCTGGCCGCCAGCTCCGGGATGGCAAAGGGAGCCGGCAAAGATGTCCTGGCCGGGCTCTGACCCCCAGCAGCAGTGCAGGGGGCTCCAGCTGCCCCGAGGGGCTCGCAGCCTGGAGAGAACGCGGCAAGGAGCAGCCAGCTTGATCCAGCATTGCCCGAGGAGCAGCCAGGCTTGTCCCATCCTGCCTTTTGGCTCACGGCAATGTTGCCAGCCTGGTTAGGGGAGAGGACTGTCCATCAGTTTGCTCAGCTTCCAGGATGACTTCTGCTGGTGGTGCCACACATCCCCACCGGCTCTCCCAGTGGGAGCCCCCAAAAACTCACCCCGGTCTGCCTTCCTCCCCAGGGATCGCCGTGGCCCTGCGGCAGGCCATGACGCCCGAGTTCAAGGCCTACCAGCAGCAGGTGGTCGCGAACTGCAAGGCGCTCTCGACGGCGCTGGTGGAGCTGGGCTACGACATCGTCACGGGTGAGGACAGGTTTCGGCGGCGGGATGGGGCTGACCCCTGCACGTGGCCCGGGCCCGAGCCAGGCCACGAGGGCGGCACGTGCACGGCTGCGACAGGCAGGGCTCTGCCGTCGCAATTCCTCAGGACATCCGCAAAACTGTTTTGAAGCAGCCCCCCTTCCCAAAGGGCAGGCATGCTTCTGCCCCCGGTGCAATCCCAAGCCTTTTTCGCTGAAGTCTCGTGCGGGAGCAGCGTTTACCCCGATCCCACGTCCCCCACCAAACCCTTCTCTTTGCAGGGGGCTCCGACAACCACCTGATTCTGCTGGACCTGCGCAGCAGAGGCACGGACGGCGGCCGGGCCGAGCGGGTCCTGGAGATCTGCTCCATCGCCTGCAACAAGAACACGTGCCCTGGTGAGGGATCCCGCGAGCTCTGCCGCGTCCTGCCCCGCGTGCTGGGGATCTCCCGTGGCCTGTGCAGAGCTTCCTGCAGGGCTCCCAGCTCCTGGTCCACCCCGGGCGCTTGGGAACCACGCCGAGTTGCCGTACGCGGCAGTTTCGGTACCTGGTTTGGTCACGCGTGACTCGTTCTGGCGCAGGCGACGTCAGCGCCCTGCGCCCCAGCGGCCTGCGGTTCGGGACGCCAGCTCTCACCTCCCGCGGCTTCCGGCAGGACGACTTCCGCATGGTGGCTCAGTACATCCACAGAGGTGAGGCTGGGGGGGGGGGGGGGGGGGCGAGGCGCG